CCACCACCACGACCACGACCACCACAGCTCGCTAACCCTACCGCCGGCGCGGCCCGTCCTCTCGCGAGAGACAGTAGGCGTCACGTGTTGGTGTAAGGCGCTGGCGCGCTCGCACGGAGCACCCTGGGAGGCGTAGTTCGCGCTTCGGCTGCATCCGTCAGGCGCGCCTGAGCGCATTTAGCCCCGGCTCTGGCGCTCGCTCGGTTTGAGTCGAGCCTATGAAAGACTCGAAATGCCGTCTTCCCACCGACCACCCGCGCTTTTAACAGATCCCCCAGCTAGGGGAAGCAAATGTGCAATGGAACCTAGGTCTTATGGTTTCTATGGCACCCCCGCCTTCGCGGCGCATCCTCGTTTGACGTGAGGACAGTTTGCCGGCAGCACCCAACCTAAGCAGTCGCTCCCAAACTCTCGGCTAAGAACCCTTTGAGAATCGAGAACCCCACCCCAGGGAGGAACAATGACAGCTACTTTCTACTGAGGCTGTTTTATGTCTTTCTTACCGCTGACTCTTAACAATTCTCCAAACAGGTCTCCATCTTACAAACAAACGCTCATAGCCAATCAAGAAGGATTTAGCTCTGTTCTGCCCCGTGCCTCGCAAATGCAAGGTCCTGAGTTCGATCCCTAACAAATAAAAATAAGCCCAGCGTGATGGTAATCTCAACACATTCAGGGAGGGGGCTTGGGATTTGGCTCTGACGCTCTTGCCCCTTGCAAACGCAAGGTCCTGTGTTTCATCCCCAGTACCGGAAAAAAGAAAAAGACTCAACACATCCAGTAGGCTGAGGCAGGAGGATTGCAGGAGTTCGAGGCCAGCCTGGGTTACTTAGTTCAAGGTGAGCCTGAACTGCATAGCAAGACCCTGTTGTCTCAAAAAAAACAAAGGGCCGGGGATTTACCTCAGTGGTGCCGCTGCCTGCCTAGCAAGCCCAAGATCCTGAGTTTAATCGCCGGTACCAAAAAAAAAAAAAAAAAAAAAAAAAAAAAAAGATTTGAAGGCCTATAGTGAGACCCTGTCTTTAAAAAAAATTAGGCATGAGGGCTGGAGATGCAGCTCAGTGATGCCACTCCTGCCTTGCAAGTGCAAGGTCCTGAGTTTGATCCCCACTACCAGAAAAAAATATTTTTAAGCTATTTCTTTTGTTGTTATTGTTGTTGGTACCGGGGATTGAATCCAGGCCCTTGCACTTGCGAGGCAGGTGGTGGGACTATTGAGGCAAATCCCTGGCCTCAAAACATATTTTTTAAGTGGGCTTTCTTTTGTTTGTTTTTTATTTTTGGTACCGGGGATTGAACTCAGGTCCCTATCCTTGCAAGGCAGGTGGTGGAACCACTGAGCTACATCCCCAGCCCCAAGTGTTTTGAAAAATTAGGCAAGGGCTGGGGATTTAACTCAGTGATCCCGCTGCCTACCTCCATAAGTGCAAGGACCTGAGTTCAATCCCCGGTACAAAAAAAAAAAAAAATGTAGGCATGAAGGTAGGTTTTCCAGGAAGATGGCCCAGCCTAAACGAAGTTGGGAGAGGGAGTCCACTATTTTCTTTTTGGTTGTTTTCTTTTATTTTTATTTTATTTTATGTTTACAGTACCGGTGCTTGAACTCAGGACCTTGTGCTTGCACAAGGCAGGCACAGTGCCACAGAGCTAAATCCCCAGCCCAATTTCTTTTCTTTTTAAGACAAGGTCTGGCTATGTAGTCCAGGCCAGCTTTGAACTCACTATGCATGTAGCCCCAGACTGTTCTACAATTTGCACCTTTCCTGCCTCAGCCTCCTGAGTGAGGGCTAGGATTACATGCTTGTGCCACCACGCGCCAGTCTGCACAGGCTGTCTGTGGGCTGTTCTTTCAGAAGTGCTGAGGAGACACTGAAAGCTGCTGTGGATGGAGGACGTGGAGCTGAAGAGTGGTCTAAAGAGAAGCTTGAGGAGGCTGTAGGCACAGCTGAAACACCGGGGCATGGGGAAGGGGAGGAGCAGCACCCAGGTGCAGTGGGGTCTGCTAGCCAGGAGGTGGCAGTGGAGATGGGGAGAAAGAACCTGGAGGAACACTTAAGATGCCCCTCTCCAGTCCTTTGGTCACCTACCTGTGAGGCCAGCAGTTCTCAGGTTCCACCTCCCTCCAAGCTTGCTCCTTCTCAGCCTTACAGGGCACTTGCCCTGGACGCTTCTGTCAGTTGTTGGGGGTGACTAACGGTTCTTCTTTCACCTGTCCTCTCACATCCAATATGTTCTCTAGGACAGAAGCAATGCTCTGAAAAGTTACCCTATGCACGTGTACAGCCTCCATTGCTGGGAGTGGTGCATGTCTGGAACTGTCTGAGTGGGGCAGCCAAGTCAGGCTGTCACCAGACAGCATGTGTGTGTGCACCTGTCTGGTATTGGCTGAAAGGATCCCAGAAGGGCCTAAAAAGACCTGTAAGCTTCCAGAAACTTATTATATCCCCATGCATTCTGATTATCATCTTTTTTTTTTTTTTTTTTTTTTTTTTTTGTGTGTGTGTGTGTGTGTGTGTTATTTTGAGACAGGGTCTCACTGTATAGTTGAGACTAACCTGGAACTCACTATGTAGCCCAGGCTGGTCTCAAACTCACAGCGATCCTCCTGCCTCAGCCTCCTGAGTGCTGGGATTACAGGCTTGCACCACCACGCCCGGCCCTGATTATCATCTTTCAAGCCATGGACTCGCAAGAACTGTCCCCAGCTCAGAACATGGGTTCCCCTCTAAATTCTGTATTCTGCCTGCAGGGACCCCCAATAACCTTGAATTCGAAGGTCCAGACACAGACTCGGGATCTGAAGCACAACATCTGCTCCTCTAACCCAATTCTCTGAGGAGATGGCATCACCATAGCCAGAAAAGGGTGTCTGTGCTCCCCATCCAGCCACTTGGGTGTGCGTGTGTGTGTCTGTGTGTGTGGTGATGAAGAGATCCAGGAAACCTAGAGCTTCACATCTTAAATATTTCTCCCTTCAGGGATGGGGATTTAGCTCAGTGGTGCCACGCCTGCCTCACGAGCACAGAGTCCTGAGTTCAATCTCTGGTACTGGAAAAAAAAAAGATAGAAAACCATGAGCCAAAATATTTCTCCCTTCTATCCGTTTCTCTCCAGCTCCACCAACATCCACACTAGAGCCCTTGATAATTTATAATCAGCGACAGTCTCCAGAATTGGCTGGTCCAGGTTGGGCTTTGGTCTCCTCCCTCTGCGTTTCTGCCTCACAGCCTCCCACCCTCTTTGATATGCACAATTCATGATTTTTCAGCACCTCTTGTGGAAAGGGACATGCAAATAAAACTTCTGCTCCCTTACTTTTCTTTTTCTTTCTTTACTTCCTGCTCTTATTCTTTCTTCTTCCATCGCCTTCTTTCCCTCCTTTGCTCTGTCCTTGTTTGCTTGCTTGCTAGGCCCTCACTGTGTAAGCCAGGCTGACCTCAAAGTCCTGAACCTCCTGTCTCAACAGTGCTGAGGTCATAGGCGTGGGTCCCTGGCCGTGTCCCCTGGCCTTCTACCGATCTCCCTCTGACCAGTACCTACCACCCACCAAAGGCCCCGTTCCTGTGGGCTTCCATTCCAACATGAGAAACAATAGACACTGGAGAGTTTAACCACGCTGTGGCGGAGGAAGGCTCCTGGCATCAAAACTGGGGAGCGGGGTTGGTGGAAGTGCCATTGAAGTTCTCCATGCGGCAGCCAGGGAAAGAAATTTTTTCTAACCGCCAATGTGGGTGTCGCTCCTAGGTCCTTTCTGGGATCACAGGAAACACCAAGACCCCCAATTCGCCACGTGGTAAACCACTGAAATATTCTGCAACATGTTCCTCCGCAGACGTTCTCCACCTGAGCCTCCTCACTTCCCTTCCATCCCCCACTTAAACCCTGTACCTCCTCAGGGTAAAGGGGTGAAGTCCCATGTACAGCGGCTCGGGGACGGGCTGGGCCTTCCGCTCCTCACACCTGTCTGGTTTATGTTAGTGTCGGTGTCTACACCCATCACCTGGGCAGTGCCGGGCACATGGGAAATACCAGTCGCTGGCGGCCTGGATGAGGCTGCCTGTGTGCTCGACAGCAGCAACTCCTGTGTTAAATTCACTCAAAAAGCAAATTTGGCAGCATGCGGAGGCACACACCAGTAATCCCAGCACCCTGGGCCACTGAAGCAAGAGAATTTCAGCTCAAATCCATGCTGTACAACATAGCACTTAGCAAGACCCTTTTCAAAATAAAGAATAGGAGGACTTGGAGATGTAGCTCAATTCAAAGCCCCGCCCTAGGTTCATTTCCCAGTACTAGATCTATAATAATAACAATAACAACAAATATTAAGCACTAACCTGTGTGTTTACACAAATGAATTCAATTCTCACAGTAGGAAATACATGATCACCCTACTTTTGCAGTGTAAGAAGGGCAGTTAAGTGGCCCAAGTTACACAGTTACCATTTTTTCTTTTTCTCGTGTTAATTCCATTCCCTTCTTTCTTTTCCCCACCCCTCCCATTTCCCCTTCTGCTTTGCACCTTTTCTTCCTGTTTCAAATGATCTATTATGCCTTTTAGTCCTTATGTATACTTTCAGTTTTTCATACTTGAGGAAAGAAAAAGAGCACGAGTTTGAACCTAGAAAGACTGAGGTTTGTGCTCAAAACTACTGCGCCTGTCATTCCCAGGTCTAACTGGGTGTGGTGGCACAGTCATGCAATCCCAGCTGTTTGATGGGTTAAAGCAGGAGGATCACAAAGTTGAGGTTGGCATAGGCAATTTAGCGAGTCCTTGCTCAAAATAAAATTTCTTTTAACGAGCTGGAGACGGGCTGGGTGTGTGGCACAGCATTCAGGAGGCTGAGGCAGGAGGATTGCCACAAGCTCAGGGCCAGACTAGACTAAATAGTAAATCCAAGGCCAGCCTCAACTACATAGCAAGACCCTGTCTCAAAAAAAAAAAAAAAAAAAAAAAAAAAAAATCATGAATCCCGTTTGTACAATCAGAAAAAAAAATACAATTATTTCCAGTTTTAGAAACAAATAACCCCATAGGTATATAGTTACCACTGACATCATATATGATGGCCGAATGTGGTGGTGCACACTTGTAGTCCTAGCACTGTGAAAGACTGAGTCAGGAGGATTGCAAGTTTGAGCCCGGCCTGGGCAACTTAGTGACTTATTTAGAAGGGTCTCCAAATAAAAAATAAGAAAGGGCTTGGAGGCCAGGGGATTTAGCTCAGTGGTTCTGCACCTGCCCACAAGTGCAAGGTCACAAATTTGATCCCCAGTA